TTACCTTTTGTTATTCACCTTGTTGTTTCCATATTTATAGATGTTGTCCATTCTATTGACCAAAAATTGCATGATGAAAATGTTGGGCTGATTTTTATGTCTTTAAATTTCATTTTCTACAATGCTATTCAGTGACTTTGTTGGCTGAGTTATGCTCTTATGCTCTTCCTCTCCTTATTATAATGTCACGTTGGACATGTGACAAAATCAGGAGAAATAGCAGGGCCTCGTATCTTGGAACATGTTGTTGATGTTGTCATGTATTTGGAAGTTGGTACCTTTTTCTTCATTGTTAGAAATTATTGTAATTCGCCTTTATAGTTCTATCTTTCTCAGGCATCCAATCCATTTTTCATATGGTGCTTTAGCAAGATCCTAAACTTAATCAAATTGAAAGGTTGGAGATGTGATATCATAACATTGGAAAATATCAAGGATTTTTATTCCTTGTTTTACTTTCACCTTTCTAGTATTTTTCTCTTAATCCTTATAAATAAAGAAATCTTCAATTGGCATGTTTCTGATGTTATGCATAGCCCAACTAATGAAACCTACATTAATAATGAGCATTTGGTTTGAAAGTATATCATATGATAGAAAGAGGCAAGGTATCTTGTTTATGATGTCCATTATCTGATATCATAAGAAATTTGAAAAATGTCATATTTTTTCAACTTCCCTAAAACTTTGAAAAGGCTAGGATTTGAATATATGCTGTTGTATTTTACCTTTCCAAATGATGATGGTGAAAATGTCTTTTACAGTATTCCAAGAAACTAGTGGTCCATTATAAATTTCTGAAACTGCTTGTATTAAAACTTGGTATCATAAAAGAAGCAGTGGGGTGTAATCTCTATCTTTCATTTTTCTTTAAGAATTATTTCTTTAATGATAAATGTTCCTCTGATTGTTGCCAATATATTTCTTGATCAATATAATCTGCAAAAATTACAGAAACAGTTGGTTTAGTACTTCTTTGAATCAGTTCTGAGGTCAAATGTGTAGCACTGAGAACATAAGTGCTTTTCTCATTTTCAGGGTGAGAAGTATTCATCTCATTGTTTGCTTCGAGCTGTCAAGAACCGTTTTGGGTCAATTGATGAAGTAAGTAGTGATGAGGAAGTTATAGTTTTTTATTGCTTCAGCAAGTGAATGATTCTGATTGGTTCTACTGAAGTCTAATAAGTTCTTTTTCTTTATTTTACTCAAATTGTTGATTTGAACCACTGGTTATTGCATTTATGGGTGTATTTGTTATCAGCTTGGAATATTTGAAATGTCACAGTTGGCGCTGCAAGCAGTGTCCAGCCCCAGTGAGATGTTTTTAAGTGGAGATCAGCACTCAAATTCTGAGTTTTTGGCTGGACTCGCTGTCGCTGTGACTGTGATTATGGATGCATCTTGTGCTTTCCTTATTGAAATTCAGGTATTTCTTGTGATCTTGTACACTCTCTTGAACTCTTCATTTATAGGTTACCCTTCAATGGGGAAAAAAAAAATCTTAAAAACTGATAATGTTTGTCATATATGATGGAATATTATAATTTTGTAGGTTACCATGAGTCTAGCACAATTCAGCTAGCTTTATGGATCAAAAATTGTTTTTGTCACAAACACAGACCATGAGTATTTTCCTTTTTCACTTTCTCTAGTGAACACTTGAGGAGGGGGGATGTTTGGGTCTGATTTGAGTTAATATTCGTCCTGACCTGGTTTCTATAAGAAATGGTCCACTCTTTGGCTTTTTGGCTTTTTTGTCTTCTTTCTCCTCCAATCTTACTAGAAGAGCTCCTGAACCAAAAAAAAAAAAGAAAAAAAAGAACCAGTTCTTTGTGTCAGCAAAATGGTATAGATTTGTCATTCCTTCTCGCAAGGAACATAACTGAGATATATTCTTCTGGCTGGGAAAAAGAAAAAAAGGTAAGGTAAGGTTTGTTTAAAGTTAATTAAGAAACTTCTTTTTTCTTGTTATGAAAGCTTCTGAGTCAAAATGAGAAAATGTGGTGTGGCTTTGATTGAGGCCCTGGTGCCATTTCTATGCTCCCTTAACGCTCATTGGTTTGCTTGGCTTCAATTAGATTTCATGTGTAGTTTTCCATTGATTGGCTAACCCTTATCAATATATTTCAGTATCTACCATCTAGTGATGTGAGATTTATAATAGAAATATTTTTCAAAATTTTTTGCTGCTGACAATTGTGTAGCATCCATTTATCAGTGTTCTGTCTAGAAAATCATATTGATGAACAATTAGAATGCTTTGTAGGCATTATGTGTCTCTGGCTCAACTGCTTCAAGGCATGTACATGGGATCCAAGCAACCAGAGCTGACATGATTATTTCAGTAAGTTCTAGTTATTGTTGCTGTAAGCATTTTTATGTGCATGCCTCCATAATTGTGTCTTATACACTCTAAAACTTTGGAATTACTTCTAGTATCTCTTATGACGTTTACCTTTCCTATTGGCTTCCTCGTATGGGGTTGCCATGTCAGTTTCCCAGATAATTATGGTTGGCAATAAATGTTAATTCCCATTTAAAGCACATAAATAATGGGAAATTAAGGCTATTTGTATTTTGAAATGTCATAATTTTCTTTATTCTAAATCTGAGAAAGAAACTTTCTCTTAAAAGTTTAATTACAACATATTGCAGTGGTAGTTTTAAGTAGTTTGCTTGCTTGAATTTCCATGATTTTGAGTAAGAAAGAAAACAATTTGAGAATTGATTCTGACTACTAGTCTCAGACAACCATACTCCATACTTATTGATATGAGTATTGGGAGTATTGTTTTGGTTTGTTCTGATAAACGAGAATTTTCGATTAGGCACAAGGAGCTACTTTCTGCAGATACTAAACATCAGTCTGCAATCATAAATTGATCATGTTATTTTCTCTTAAACTGTAGGTCCTTAATAAGCAAGTTGGTCTGAAGATCCAAGAGAATGTAAGTTACTATTTGTATAATCCTCTCAGGTTATGTTTTCTCCTTTCTTTCCTGGTCCGAATTCAATATCATTCTAAATATCCATACTTTCTCTCCTTACCGAAAAATGGATTTTCTTTGTTACTTGTTACTTTAATGCACGTTTGAATCTTGTGCTTTGTTGGGGAAATCATAAATTTTAGCATCACAGCATGTAGATTTTACTTTTTGAATAATATGTAAATGAAGAGGAATCCATGCTTCTATTTTGTCTCCTTTTTGGGCACTGGGAAGTACCAAATTGGACCCCTGAAAATATTTTACCAC